AAACACTCACAGTGTACTCCAAGCCAAAACAAAGAACTAGTTAGAAATCATGTATGACCCTAGTTCATGTTAAGGTGGCTAATGCAACACATGCAAAAATACAGCTAAAATAGGCTCGGCTATTCTAAGATGTCATGTGAGATGCAACTTGATAACATGCTGTTGAACACGTATTCAAGTAAATGTATTGAAATACAATGTAGTTAGTATGATGCGCTGAGCCTGGTGCATGCAAAACAGATTAATGAATGCACGCATGCGAAGCATAAGTATGCTAATCGAAATATGCCCTAAAACTAACCATCGTAAGCGATTAAGTAAAAGGAAGAAAGAAATGGGGGTTGGAAGACATGCATCACACACACGCACACTTACTACAATAGTTGGCCCACTCGACGGAGGGTCTGAATAATAAGCTAACTAGCTAATCTAAGCTAATTAAACTAATTATTACATCACAAAACTAGCTAACTAACAAGTTAACTAATTAAGTACAAAACGAAGCTAATTAACTAACAAGTTAATTAACAAGTTATTACAACACAAATAAGCAGCTAAATGCATTAACTACTTAAGTACAAAACCAAAGCCTAACTAGATAATCAAATCAGCCTACTAAAGCAGTAAAGAGATGTCCTCAAAGGGAGAAGAGTGCATGCATGCTCGGTCGCCTCGTTCGAAAATCCATCGCGATGCCCCAACTTGCCTCTGTTTGCATGGTTTTAGACTTCTGAAAATTGTGCCAATCTCCAAAACACTTCTGATCCACCTCATGGACATTCTGAGAGGTCATCGACCAAGAGGTATGGCCATCGGCCAAAGGATAAAGGTCATCGACCAATTTTGAGGCTATCGGCCAATCATTGATAGCCGATCGGCACACCAGATAGCCGATCGGCCATGTGTTCCTACAAACTCTCCTTTTACTGCAACAGAGCACAAATAGAGGCATGGCAATGTATTTGCAAGAAAATATGCGTGCAACTACACCCCTTATCATTTCTAAGGCTCAAAGGTGTGCACTGCTCAGCTCTCGAGCCATCAATCATGCATTTCGATACATGATGGCCAAAGAGGCCGAGTTACACAAATCAATGTCAAATGAATGCACAAAAATACATAAATGCCTTAACCTCTATCATGCATGATCAAGAGGGTCGGTGACTGAGAATTGAGGCACATTTCGTCACTTCAAG